ATATTAAAAAGATTGTATTATAAAATCAAAATAAAATACTTTGAGACGTTGGATCTAAGATCAAACTGTGAGTGGCTCTCTTGATAAAAAAATGGACGGCTGGATGGTAGAGGGAACATAGAACTTCTATGTTGTAGGGGAACATAGAAAGCTTTCCCACAAGAAAATGGCTTGATATGGTTGCAGCTCTATCAAAACAAGTAAAATATTACCTTATAATTCATCAATAATTACAATTCAAGCATCGAAAAACTTTTACATCAATCATCTCGTCTTAAATATTATGGTTATGAAAAAAGCACGATTTCAAGCTCCAACAATAATGTGAATTGCACGAAATTATCTATACCATCTATTTCGCCCTAAAAATAAATGTTCATAGCTCTATACAAGGTCTGTACCATTTTTTGAATTTCAAATTTTGGTATCGATGTTGGAAATTGATTTTAGCGCTATCATGGAGATTTCCATTGTTGAAATTGATTTTAAAGCTATTATGGAGACTTCCATTATTGAAAGTGCTTTCCCGATGAAAATTTGAGGTAAGGCTTTATTTTGTTTTCATTAAGTCTAGTCTTTATACAAGCTTCATCCTTCACGATATTATTATTATTTTTTTAAGAACTTTCGCTTCATCTCCCACGTGGTTACAGCTTTGGGAAGCCGATATGGTGGGGAACGAGATTTCATGTAAAAAATATCAGTTCATCTCCACCGTCCAATTATGGGCACGGATGGTTGATCGAAGTGAGTGTACGCCCCCATATACACGTTTTCTTGCCTTTTATTTATTAAAGGAAAGAGCCTAAAGTTAAGGTAGAGTCGACTAATAAATCCAAGGAATCCGCATATAGTTTTGTCCTTTTTAGAGCTTTGTTTTCAAACTTTTATCCGTTTTGCTAAAAGTATAAGTAGACCTCAGAATATGTGGTTAATTTTAGTAAAAAAACAAGGTCTAAAAATAAGGACCTTCATTTAAAAGACTTGGGTGTCATGAAAATTTATCAAAATGAACTTTATAATAGTTTACCTAATTTTATTTAATTTTAAATAGCCACCATGATCATGAGTTAAAATAGTGTTAAATTGGTAAAAGGTCAAAGAGTTGATAAATTTTCTCTTGAAAATAAGAAATTTACAAAGGCATGTCTAGATGAAATTTAATTTTATCTGGAATATTTAAAATTTATATATTCTAGATAATATTTATGTTGTTAGTATCTTTTATAGAAAAGTATACAACAACAGTATTTACCTTTAGTACAAAGTAGTCACAATCATTCATGTCCATCATTCAAATCGGATGGTTGTGAGTGTATCTTTGACTAAACTCAAAGTCTAAAGAAAAATTTCTTGAGCTTCATGACACACCTTAAACTATCCAATTGGACATCTAATGACTAGGAGTAATAGAAAACTTGTTTTATAGTATACAATCCCATCTTTTATTATGTATAGCATTATTTAATATTTAACTTTTAGCAATTTTCATCTATTTTTAGCTATATCTAACCAAAAGAATATAAATTTCAGCAAATCACTTTCTATAAAATAAAAACATCGTTTCATAAAGATAAACTTATATATAAAACTGTATATATCTCACATAACCTTATGATGGTTCCTGTCAAATAACAAATATGTTACTAAAATCAATGGAGCAGGATGAGCGCCAAAACCCAAGATCAGAGAGGGGTGTGCTGTGAGGTTGATGATTGCAAAGCACGGATTTTAGATTAGGAGCACTTTTTTTTTTAGAGAGATAAGAAAACTTATCTTTTATAGGAAGCTCTGTATTTTGTTTGTTGTCTCTTCCTCTCTTTGGCTTCCCATATTTATAAGAAGAAGATGGGTGGACATTCTTTTTTTCTCCAATAGGTCTCTCACAAACTAATTCCCTGGATACTCGTCTGTATGGAAAAAAAGGCTTTATAAAATAATTAGATATTTATGTATATTACATTAAAGAATTTTTAACAATGGATAAAGTTTAATAAACATAGGATTCATTCCATAAAAATAGTGAAGCCCTTAAAAATAGGCAAGGCCACATGAAGCCTCACGACAACAAATAATATATTATTGGAAAAAAATTTATTGAAATGATGAATTATTAGTGATCACACATTCATTGAAACGGGGCCATAATATGTGAAGGAAATGTATTTAACAACATAATATGTGCATATTTGTGTGAGGAAATAGAAATACATGAGGGACCTGGTATTTGTGCTCTGTTTGTACAAGAAGATAATTGGCTTTACCGAGAATAGGGTTCGAGCATCAGTGGTTAGGGGGCTGGTGACTCAACATAAACGTCCCACACTCCATTTCCATTGTTAATATATCAAAAAAAAATATATATAAAAAAGAAAAGATAAAAGGGTTTGCTTCTTTGGCAAAAAAATAAAAGATAAAAGGGTGTAGCTTGAATGCTTAAGGAGT